TCTTATCACTTCCTTCTTGGCCCTGGTGAGTATCTCTTTGCAGTGTGCATGTCAGTGTAGTGTAGAGCAGGGACAAACAAACAGGCGACGCCAGCTGCGCCCGCTGCTTAGTAAGAAACTCCCAGTCTATCACTGATTAGTCTTTTTTTAGCTTCTTTGTTTCATCTCCCCCCTTTCCAAGTACTAAGTAAATTCTTTTACTTAGAATATTTCTCTAAAGTTTTCTGAATATATTTGCCCTATACCTTTTACATATGGTTTTATTAACAAACTCATATGCAACCTTTTACAAGTTCACCAGTAATTAATATTAGAAAATAATAGTTTATGAGGAAGTACCAGCTACAGGTTGGTTCTAGCACAACCTCTTGTATAGAACAATTTTCTTATAGCACTCTGTATGTACTGATTGACCCATAAACATATCTTGAAAATACAAGAGTAACAAATCTGTCAGTGTAAAGTACTTCAGAGCACTCTCTTACATTTTCCAGCAACAACAAGGCTGATAGTTCTGGTGATGCTGGGGAAGCCAGTAAACCCACAGAGATGCAGACACAGCGAAGAAAACGGATCTCCACCATGCCAAACCTTGTCAAACCCAGAGCCGGACCTTCATCTGCTCAGCATTCTACACCAAAACCATTGCAGAGGCGAACGTCACAGGCTCCTGATGGTAGTGCTGCCCTTCAGAAGGACTCCTCGCCCTCAGAAAAGAGTCATGTTGAAAGCTCTTTAAAGTCTCCTATGCTTCCTGAGAAGAAAACACCTGTGCCACAAGTGCCACAGTTTTCCCCACTAAAGAAATCAATGCACAAAGAGCAAACTGTAGGTGTAGCTGCTCAAAAAAATGATGATAACTTGCAGAAGAATATACCCTCTCCTCTTAAGGAGAGACCAACACAGGAAAGATCACGAACACAGGAGGAAAGACTACCCATGAAACCTTCTCCTGAAGAGGAGAAGCGAACGTGTTCTGACCGTGAAAGGATCCTTAAAGCTCGGAAGTTAAGAGAAATGCTGAAAGAAGAGCTAAAGAAAGAGCGGATGGTAAGGCCTCTGTATGGAGCAGTGCTGATCTGTGAAGGGCAAGATGTGTGTTTCACTTAACATACCTTAACTCTATGCAGTGGTGTTTTCTGATGGCCATCAGCTGCTCACTGCTAATAGTCTGTGATACCACACCACTCTGGGTTTAGTCTGGTTATAAGCAGTAGTAGCACTTTGTTCCATAATAATACAGATTTCACAAGAAATTGCATATAATTTCATTTGATTACACCCACAGGCCTATTTGACATGACACCTGGTATTATTTTGTAGTGAGCATGCCAGTTTTGAAAGTTTCACAGTTAGTAATGCAGTGTAGAAGGGTTCTGTAAGAAACTTGGGATTTGGGGTTTCTCTTGTCTTCCAGTTGATCATTGTCAGAGTCCTGTAATTCTGAGTAGCTTTTTGCTTTTATTTGTGCCGGATATCGAATGTCTCTGAAAGGATAAAAACTTAAGGGTCTGTGATGTCCTCTCTAACAAGGGAACACTTTTAAGCTAAATGTATGTGTTCCTGAGGGCAGGGTATGTATGTGTTTATGAAGTACTCCCTTCATGGAGTACTTCATAAACAAACAAAAATACTTATTTGTGAAGTGCAAAGTACTTTCAGGGTGAATCTGAGTGGTTTTTGTTTTGTTTGGTTTTGGTTTTCTTTTGTGGAAGCAGTTGAAACACAGGCCTCCAGTAATTGAAGGACGTTCTCCACCAGATCGTTCCAAAATGACTATGAGAGACTTGATATACTATCTGCCAGAAAACAATCCTATGAAGTAAGTATAACTCTTTTTCTCTCTTTAGGTTATTTTTCTACCTATTTAACACTTAAATCTGGAGTATTAGCACAGATGCAGTGTTGTTGCAGTGGTAACAAAAGCTTCTAGACATTTTCACATCTACTCAATCCTCATACAGAAATGAGAATGGAGATTAGTGTGCTTGTTGAAATACACAAACATGAACCTGTCCCCGGTGTTGATTTATCTCTGTTAAAATACAGAATAATAGTGGATGTAGCTACTACTGTTCCATTTACACATTTCAGCAGTTGCAAGGCTGAGTGAGCATCCCAGTGGTACACGCGCACACACACACACACTGAACACTAGTGTAGCTGCCTGCAGAGTCTGCCACAGACAGAGTGGGGCCTTTTTCCTGTGACTACCAAAGCCAATCCCATCAATAGAAGTACAGTTATGCAAGTCCTGTTCTTTTTCTCAGTAGCAGATAAGTTTTCTGGTATTGTCTGTTATCACATGCTTGTTAATGTTTGTGTACTTATGTGTTTTATCATTGTTTTCCTTGTTATTTTTTCTTCTACACTGAATAGTCCTTAAGGAAGTTAATGAGGAGCATGCTCTCATGTTCTCTCTAACCTTATAGTGGATTACTGCTTGAAATATCTTTTTTTGTCCTTACTTGTACCAAAAAAAGCAAAATTCATTAAGCAGTGGTGGTTGTTTAGTTAGATTCAAGTCTAGATGTCATACAAAGAATTGAAACAACAACAAAAAAAAGCTTTTTGTTTCTTTGTTCATTATTCTCTAAAAGCCAGTTTTGTGGAATAAAGCAGAAATGTATCTGTACAAACAATCATCTCTAGCTTTTTATGACATTCTAGGTCTTCATTGGTAGAAGAAAAGAGGACAGAAAAAACCTCTGCACTGGGTCAAATGAAAGAGTAAGTCTTGCTGATGAAATGTAGTCAAAAAGTTTTCTGATGTTAAAAAAACGTGTTTCTGTGGTAATACTAACAGTCTAGGTCTATTTTTTTACTGTTTCAATATCACAGCCCTTATTTATAACAAACTGGGAGGGAAGGGTGTTTAGATTTTGCTTTCAATGTTACCTGTTTGCATATTTCCATTTTACAACAGAAAGAAAAGCAGGTTTCAGAGTTTGTGTATTGACTAACTTGTTGATGTGTTACATTGCTGGGTGATTTATTAAACTGTTGGATGTCTGGCCTCCTGAGCAGCCATTCAAAACACTAGCAACATTTTTGCTGCTGTCTTAATTGTAGGCAGGAAGAGAAAAGTACTGACCGTGAAGAAGAGGAGGAACAAGAGGAGAATGGGGAGGAGAGTCAGGATGGTCCACTTCTGGTTCCTCGTGTGAAAGTAGCAGAAGATGGTTCAATTATTCTGGATGAAGAAAGGTAACAAGTTCTGTGCCTGACTCACGGACAATACATACAGCAGCTTAGTTTGTGAATAGAGAATAGTTCTCCTTTGGACAGGGATGAACATGAGTGTGTGGCAAAATACAAGCAGCGTTATCTGCGTCTCAGTAATAACAAATCTTGTGAGAAGTGCTTTTGGAGAAGGAGGTAGAGAGGAAAATCTCATTTTATTACAGGGAATGAACACTGAAGGTGTGTCCAGCTTCCATATGTCTTGTATTTAGCTGATTCTTTTGTTTCTCAGAGTTGCACATATCTGCTTACTGTTATTTGGTTGTCAGTGTGATTTGCTTCAGCTTTGCATCTTGCATGTTGCTGTTGTATTCTTCTGTCAGTGCTTTCAGTAACTTTGCTTAGAATATGACTTTTAAAAAGTAGATTATTGAATTACTGACTTCCCCCCAAGTATTATTAGTAAGAGATTTAGTGCAGTGTTTAAGGATAGAGCAAAAGATAAAAGATGTTTAAAGACAGATGAAAAAAATTATGGTAAAAGAATTTGAAAGTATTGTGGAAGGATATTGAGAGGCTCTCACGGTTTTGGAAAATAAATTTAGTGACTGTCAAAAAACTTTTGGGGTTTTTTAAAGATATTTAATCATGTTTGTCTGTGCTGGCTCTTACAAAAAGGAAAGAGCAAATTTATCTACACAGGCTTAGTGGTGTAGTGATTTCTTGCTGCATTCTCCCATTTAAGACATGTTAATGTACGTATTAAACTTGATTATGCAGTACAAATGCTCACTGTGGCAGGAAGAATTTGAATAGCTGTCTTACAAATTACCTGTGTGTCATCTTTGCAGTATTTTCAGACAAGTTTCTTTGTGAGTTTGCTTTTTCAGCTTAACTGTAGAAGTTCTAAGAACAAAAGGTCCATGTGTTGTAGAAGAAAATGATCCCATCTTTGAGCGTGGTTCTACAACTACATATTCCAGCTTCAGGAAAAGTTTTTACACGAAACCATGGTCAAATAAAGGTGAGTATGCTTTTGAGTCTGCAGAAAAGTCTGTTTTCCACCCATGCTTTATACTCAACAGTTTTTATTTTCCTGATGGAGTAAATGGATCTACTTGTGTGTTGTGTAGTCTTAACCCTCCGAACTCTTACAACAAGCATTTACTGTGAAAACTTGCATTTTTGAAAAGTTCGGTGCCTTATGATAGATAGGCTACCTGTGATTGGTTTTTTTTCTCTCATGGACATTTAGATGCTGAAGAAATTGTGAGTCTGCTTTATCAAAAGCATAATTTTGGGTTCTGGTGTACATATATTTGAGCTCTGTATGGAACAGTTAGCTCTTTATAAATTGGTTCTTCCAGCACAGGCAGGAAGAAATCATGTAGGGCTGTATTTCAGTGCAAATGTACAGCTGTGTTTTTATCAGTGTGTGAGCTGTTTTTTTGTTACTCCTGCTGGCAGCACTGTGCAAGACTTTATACAACTATAGATGTTAAGAATGGCTTCAAAATTCACTGTGCATCCTTTGGAATGCACTCTTTTCCCGTTAGCACATAATAACAGAGATAGTAATTCTACACAGTGTTTTTCTGGTTTCTGTTTGCTGTGTACACATAGACAATTTGGGGCTGGTTAGCTTTGATTTACTAGCTTTGCAAAATATATTTCACATTTTGCAGTTTTGTAATTTGAAATTATTTCTGTTGATAGTTCATTTGGCAAATGCTCTTGGAGGTACTGAGGTAAAATAACACATACACTCCAGCACAGCTGGACCCGCATCTGCAGCAGATAACCTTAAGGTGACTGATCTCACGGCATTGAGTTTGCAAGGTGTTTTTGGTTTAGGTAGCAAGAAGGATGGCTGAGTAAATATTTCAGTGTGTATAATATTTTTCTCTTCTTTTTCCCCCCCTCTAGAAACAGACATGTTCTTTTTAGCTATCAGTATGGTAGGAACAGACTTCTCCTTGATTGGGCGGCTCTTTCCTCACAGAGCCAGAGCAGAAATTAAGGTAAAAGTTAAAGCACTCAAAGAAATTCAACACTTTTACTTTCCTGTGCTTCATCTTTTGGTACTGATAATTTTGATGCTAATTGTTTCTGTAGTAATGCTTTTCTTTTAATGCCTGTTTCAGCAGGTTGTAAGTATCTGAAACATTTATTTGTTGGTTAAATGTCAATCAATGTGTCCACTTAAATCTTGCATACTGAGACACAATTTGTCTTGATTTGAGTTAGAGAATGCTGATGTTGTCTCTTCTAGGGTATACAGCTGGGAAAGTCTTTTATATTTCAAGGCTTGCTCAGATTGAAACTCAGGACAAAGGTGTTGAAAAAAATGAAGTATAACTGGTGATAGGTCCTGGTGGCAGATTTTACGTTTAAAAATGAATTATGAACTTGTGCTCTGTGAGCACGCGTGTAAATTTCAGCAGCCGTAGTTGGCTTGTTACATCGACAGCTTATCTGCCATTTTGAACAACACGTTGCTGCATTTCTTACTTAATGAAATGTACCTTTGCTTTTAGAACAAGTTCAAACGTGAGGAAAAAGCTAATGGATGGAGAATAGACAAAGCTTTCAGTAAGTAAAGTAAATGTACCCCACCCTAAAGTGAGTCATTAAATGCTAGTCACCTATTTTCATGTTAATTTTTGTGGTCTGTTTTGCTTGAATGAATTACAAGAACTTTTTTTTACTCATAGGAGAGTTTAGAAGCTGCGGAGTCTGAGGGTTTTGTAAGAAGCATGATTCACAGTAAAGGTCTTTAGGTTTAATTTCTGTCTTTTTAAAATGTCTGCTGAGTTAGATTAATCTAAGTTTTCCTATCTATATTCAATTGAAGATTATTCTGATTCATGGGAATTTCTAGGACAGTTATTTATTGTAAACTGCTTTGAGAGTCCATAAAGACTTTTGATGTTATCTGAATGAGGTACATAAGTCCTAGACCAGCATGTTAATACAGTAATTGATACTATGGTACAATTTGTTTATTTGGCAGTTCTTAAATTTTCTAAACTGCTAACTTTTGTTCTTTAAAACCAAGCTGCCATAATCCATGTAAACTTTGCCAACTTTAGTCCCTACTCAAGTGAGGCAGAAAGTATTTTCAAGGGATCTCTCTGTTTAAATGTGCATAACCTTTGCTTTTTAATATGCCGTGTGTCATGTCACTGATTGTTTTTACAAAGCAGAGCTGAAAAAAAATTATCAAATTTGGAATATCTGTTTCTTTGCTTCAATCTTACAGAAGAAAAACGTCCCTTTGATTTTGAGTTCTTTGCCCAGCTTCTTGATAAAGTCTTAGCAGATGAGGAAAAGAGGAAGCAAAAGACTGTTAAAAGCCAAAAGCCAAAGGAAAAGAAGCCACCAAGGCCTCAGAAAAAGTCAAAAGGTATTTTAAAAGAATGCTTGAGATGTCATTACAGAACACTGGTCAGTAATGTGTTGTTAGCAGAGGAAAAATCACATAGGAATCTTCTCCTTCCCTGTTGTGGACAGGGCAAGAGGATCCTAGCTTCATGGTATAACTTTTTCAGATGTGGTTTACTGATGTGACAGATGATAATAATTCATAACGGAGCAGAAATATGTGGTCACAGTGAGATTAGTAGTCTTCCACAATCTGAATGTACATTGATATTCTAATTTGCCAGTCAATAAATGTCTCCTTGTGTTGTTATTCACTGTTAGATTGGCAAGCTCTTCTGTACTGTAATTGTTTTTACCTTTAGACCCCATTTCTTTTAAGGGTTCTGTTTCTCCTTTAATAATAATTCTTTTTAGGAATAGGAATGTCTGTTTTTCCTGAATCCAAATGTGACTTTGTAACCTGCTAAGAACCATAGGAACAATGACATTTACTAAACTGGCTTTACATTCCATATTGACATTGCCCTGGTGAAGTGTCCTATGTACAGACTGTGCTTTGCACTTGATGTTAAATGTTTTGCATTTAAAGTTAATCTATGTTGAAGCTTTTCTCTTAAGTCAGTGACTGACTTCTCGTGGTCCTGCTCATGTGCCTGGCAGCGTATTGGCAGTGATACACAAATGCAAAGATGTTGCTAGTAGAAATGCTGTTGCTATTGATGGCTTCTTAGTACTCTACCAGTCTATTAACCAAGAACCATATTGTCTCAACAGCAAAAGCTGCCAGCACAGAAAATGCTAATGATCAAGGGGATCTTCAGGACACTAGGATGTCTGATGCAGAAACAGTAGCAGATGGTGTGATGGCTGAGAAAGAAAATGAGGAGTCTTTGGGCATTTCTAAACAGGCAGAAGAAGAGGTTGAAATAGAGCCAGCACTATCAAAAAAGAAGAGGAAGAAGAAGCGAAAAGATGATAATGAGCAGGAAGTGGAGAATATTCCAGAAGAAATAGCTGAATTCTCTTCAAAAATTGCTGAAGAAGGGAAATCCACTAAGAAAAGTAAGAGGCAAAAATGCTCACTTTCAAATGTTCAGATATAAATTCTATATAAAGACATTTGATAATGGTAAAATGAGATTCAGTCTTTGACTCATATTGGTGATCTGCCTTGGGATGTTGTGGAACATTGCCTTTCAAATCAGCTCTCATATTAAATACTTCATATTGGCTGAGAACAGTTTTCTTAATACTTGGGCTTTTACTACTGGGATTTTTAGTCCTAGATTAACTCTTCTTCATTGTAGCTAAGATTTGAGAATTGTAATTCTATGATATTGCTCAGTGTGGAGGAATGGCTCTGCGAAAAGGGACATGATTTCCTTGAAGCTGACAACCCAGCTTGTAGTCTGGTGTAAGGCCTAGAGCAGCTGTGACTTAGCCTTGAACTGCTGATAAGGATCGAGCTCTGCCTGGCAGAGCTGGCTCTGACCGGCTCTGAGTCCGGTGTCAACAAGCTCCCTGGAATTCCTGGAAACGTCCTGGAATGTGGACAGACACCTGCTTGCACCAATCATAAGTTTCACCTGGACACTGGGACAGGGGCAATAAACCAATCATGTATCCGCTGCGTTCGCGTACTCTGTGTGAATGTCTATATATATCTTGTAAGCACTAAGAATAAAGGAGAACGACCATACTCATATTGAGACTCATCGTTACTCCAGGTCCGGATCCCCCTCCAACAGCTCAGAATGTCCAAATTGATATAATTCTTATTAATTATCAGGGAAAAAGGTGGCTTATGATGCAAGCAATGACGGTCACACTACCCGCGGAGGAGAACTGGATTGTGTTATTGAAGGCAAACAAGATGAGACTGCTGTTAGTGAGGAAGAGAGATTGGAGTCCTGTTTGGCAGCGACTGACAGAATGGAGAGAGAAGGTGGTGTCAGTTTCTGCAGGTAATATTTACAGTGGAAAGCTTAGGCAAAATAAAAAATAGTTTAAAGTGTTAATATTGATTTTATTTATTCATGTTTACCACTGTCCTGGTTGCAATGTGGGGTAACCTGTGGTATGTATTCTATTGTTGTCTCCACAAGCTGACTCTGTCAGTAGTTTCTTTTTGTACTGTTGCATTTGTTGTTGTTTTGGTTTGGTTTTCCTATTAAATTGGACTTCTGACTTGGAGTTTCTCACTGGTTTGCTTTTAAACCAGCACAACCACCATGTTAACTGCCACAGAATGAGCAGGGGTTTGGTTTCTGAGAACTGTCCTGGGTTTTAGTAAGATGTTTTTAATTTGCACTCTCAAAATATTATCTGCCCTGATGGGCTGCCCTGGAAAATTTAATGTACATCCAAAACTGATTTTGTTTTCTTAGAGTGCTTATGAAGACTGTTAGCTTATTCCAACTCATAATATTCTTCCTGAAGCAGTGGTTGGTAATGTTGCTAAGTAGTGTTAATACAGGCTCAGAATTCTTAGCTGTTTTTAATAAGATGTTTCTTGTGGGGAAGGCGTATTGCTTGGACTTTATTTATGCAGAACCTGCGTGGGAGGCAAGCTTTTAGTTTAATTTTGTGCACAGTTTTTCTAGAAAGAAAGTGAATGTTTGTTTATTACACTTGTAATATATGAAACTGTCAAATGTAAAAATTAAACTGTGTTATTTTAGAATTTTGCATTTTAGTTTGTTGCATTTAGATGGATAGTAATTGTTATTTTATACAGATTCCCAGAAACGTTTGTGTTCTATAATGCCTCATTAGAAGCATATGAAAGAAGTTATTTGCCTTTGAACTCAATATGGATTGTTACTAAAGATCAGAGGGAAAAGCTTCTGCATACAGTGTTCATGTTTGTTTTTAAAAACAATCTAGTCTAGAATAACTAGACGAGATTTTAACATCATTTTGTAATAGTGCAAAAGTACAAGTAGTTTTAAAACTCATATTCTTCAATTATCACTAAAACCTGTGAAATTCTATGAAACACAGGCAGTTATTTAATGTCACAATTGCATAATTTCTCTGTGCAACTTGATGTATGTGTAAACAAAAATAGCTGTTTTCTAGAAATACACTAATGTATGTGTGCTTTTATTTATTTCAGCTTTGAAGACAGCAATGATTTTATACTAGAAACAGAATCTGCTAAATTGAGAACTGGAGATATTAAAGATGATACATCACAGGAAAGCCAGGTTTCAGAGTTACACGTTTCAAGGACTGGAAGCAAAGAAAGACAATCTGAAGAAACTGGAGGAACAGAGGTATTGCTGTTTGTTATGGTAGTTCTTCGTAAGGTCTTTCACTTTACCATTAGAAGTCATTTGTAAATCAAAGCCGTTTTTGATTGGTTTTGTGCTGTTTTCACCAGCAAAAAGTCAATTAGCCTAAGAACATTGCCAAAATTTAAATGCTCTCAGTTTGGCTGGGTTTAATGGGTTGCCTGTTACCCTAAATTTATTCAGAGAGTTTAGTGTGCATGCCTAACTTACCACATGGGCAATTGAAACAGATGAACAGCTTAATTATTCAAAAGTGAAGAAATATAATATGAACTGTTAAACCTTGGTGCAAGATCTCACTGGCATACGCTTACCAGTACAATGTTGGAAACTGTTTTGAGTGCAGTGAGCATTGGGTTGTTTGTGCTGCCTTGGAATGGAAACCAGTGTAAACTCTTGTCCACTGGTGTTGACTACCATTATGTATTTCTGGAATGATGTGAGAAACTGGATCAAGATTGAATAATATTTCTTCAAGTATGTTCTAATCAGGTCCAGCAGTTTAGAAACTTCCTGAGATAGTGTCTGGCTTCTTTTGAAGCCCGTAATGCACCTCAGGAAATGCTGCTCTGTGGTGAGGGTCACCAAGTGCTGGCACAGAGAGACTGTGAAGTCTCTGTCTTTGGCAATACTCAAAAGCTGTCTGGACACAGTTTTGGGTAACCAGCCCCAGGTGTTCCTGCTTGATGAGAGGGATTGGACCAGAAGTCCTCTAGTAAACCCTTCCAACCTCATTCATTGTGGGAATCTGGTTTCTACTTTTCTATACATTACAGAAAAAGTTCTACGTTTATTGTTTCTTTTATACAATGTTTTTTTCTTACTCAGAATGAAGATGTACATCACTTACATAGACTAGATGGAATGCAGAGTGCATCAGAAAGTGGTTCTCAGTCTGAAGTGATGTAAGTAGAATTATTTTACTTTGCAGTGGTACTTGAACTAAGCCTGCATCTATTCAATTTGGATAATTCTGATTGACCATAGCGCAGGTTGAACTAGATGGGAGATCATGATAACTTTTGTTTCCATATTCAATGAAATTTTTTTATAGACATTTTGATCACTGAGAAGCAATGAATTGACTAGAACTTAGATGGGGACAGGGAGGAAGACTTACCTAAGCTTAGGAAAAAACCCAGCTAGCCCCTTTACAGTCAGCAAGAACAAGAGATTGAAGAAGTTCTGCCACTTTGTGGATGAGTCTTGGTTATTATTTTAAAAATTTTTTTAATAAAAGGACCTCACTGAATTCTTTGAAATTAACAGTTTTCCATCAGAGCTTATTAGCTATACACATATGTGTATGGTGTGTTCTTCCTGTTTGGAAACTGTTGCTCTTTGAAACTGGTGTAACAGTCTAAGATGTAAGATACTTCAAGATGGCTCTGTCTTACCTACTCTCCTTTATGAAGTTAATCTTTGTGACTGTTTCTTACACTTACTGCTGTTCACTGAGTAGTGGTGTTTAATTAAAGAAGTCTGTACCTGAAATTTCTGTTTTTGTGTGATCATCAACTTCTTATTCCATGACACAGTTTTTTAAAGGGGATTTAGGGCTGGGCTGCTTGTCAATGCTGACTTGGTTTTCACGCTTCTGTCTTTCCCTTTTTGAAAGATAGCTCACTCTTATGATAAGGACTGTCACAGCTCTATTTGTCCTGTCCTAGGAAGAATATAAGAAAATATAGTATTTCCCAATTGGAAGGTTATTGATAAGGTGTAGGGCTGTCAGTCTGTGACTCCCAGGATACACTATCACAATGGTTAAGGACACAGAGAGTGATGTATGTGCCGCATTCCTCAGGAACATATGCACATTGGCAGTAGGACAAGGTATTTGGAAACAGCAGTTCAGTGTTCCGTGACAATATGGCAGATTTATTTGCTTTCTATTAAAATCAGTAAGCCTGTTCAGACTGACATGAATTGTGAATCCCTAGGAGAAATACTTCCTTCAAATACGTTAAGTAGATTCTACTAAAAGCCAGCAAAGTTGTTAAGGTTTATTTGGTGCTTTTTGCATAAAGTTGTAGCATGTCTTCTAATATGAGAAAGATGTGATATTTTTCCTGTTTACTGCCTTGCTGCATGCAATGTCTTGGTCCATGCAGTCTGTGACACTCTAGAAGTACATCTTGAACTCTATAAGACTTGTAAGTTCCTCTTTGGTAGTAATATATGCAACCTCTTCTTATATCTTAAGGAAAACTGAAAGGTCAGCAAACAGAAGGCGCTTGCAAAGACCTAAACCCAATTTAGTGAGATCATCTGGAAGGAGAGAGACAGCGATGCAAGACAAAATGGAGGCTGAGACTTCCTCTCCAAACCTTGGGAATGCAGATGAAAAGGTCAGAAGGAAGAATGTTACTAAATATGTTATGTTCTTGATGCTGCATCTGTTTTGATCAATGCAGATACTGTGGACTACCTACACTCATACAGGTGGTATTTGACAAACTGCTGCTGAGGTGTCTGCATGCTTGTCAAAGAGTAATATTTCATGCTTCAATTCCAGTGCTCTGAGGAAGACAGTAAAAGAGACAGAAATGAAGCCACAGAAGTAGAGAACAGAGATTTGGATACTGAATCTGAGTAAGTATAGAGATCACTTATGGAATGAACTTACTGTAGTTACTATATTGTTCTTTATAGTGCTCTTAGAAGAAGACTATAACTATGAAGTTTTAATGTAAATCTTTAATTTGATGTTAGCTTCTTCTTGGATGATATCAGGTGGTACTATGGTAGAAGACACGTACTTGTTTTCAGGCAAGTTGAGGAAAGTCATGAGGTACCAACTATACTTGAAATTCAAGGGGGAAAACAGGGGAAAGTGATAACTGGCTTTGCTTTCTTCCCATTCTCTGTTGACATCTAATGTCTCTGCTTCTGACACTTGCAGCTGTGGTATGCAATCTAGTTAGGATCCTCCTCTGTGTGAGGAGAGGATCACTCCAGCCAGTGATCTCTTTTTAATAGGCAGATAAAGAGTTCCCATGCTCTCTAAGATTAAACAAAGTTTGTTTCTGTGTGAAGAAACTTGCATAAGTTTGAACAAATCTGTCTGAAGACAGCACAATTCCAATAAAGAAAGCTGTGCAAGTCATTGAATATTACATAGGCTTGGATATTATGGAGTAAATGTCACTTTTGTGGATCCTTTGTGCAGAGAACCTGAAAAAACTGCAACTGCAAAGGCAGTAGTTAGAGGATATCGACAGAGATTTAAACCTAATGTTGCAAGAGCATCTAGAAGGAGAGAAGAGCCTGAGAAAGATGCAGGAAATTGTAAAGTGCCCCATCTACAGCCTAAGGAGGAAACTGAAAAGGTATTTAATAGAATAACGTAACTGGAGTTAATGGGTTAGCTAAATAGCTACTGGATGCAATAGGAATGTTGTCTTTTGAAGTTTCTTCTCTTTTTGTCCCTGAGTATGACCGGGAATTTGCCACTTACTTAACCTGTAGTGGCAGTCTGGTATTGCTTAGACACCTCAGCTAAGCTGAGAGTTTGTTAAACAAACAGTAGATACCAATAATCTTTCATGTCCCACAGTGAACACAGTTGTAGTTGTTTAATCTGCTGCACCTCTCTGACTGTGAAATGTGCCCTGTAATTGTATGTGTCTGTCATAAATGATCTATTTTGTTTCCTGTTACAAGCAGTTACTTGTTCAGTTAGGTAATGCTGTACTTTATAGATGTTAAGAGAGTTAATGTCAGAATGTTCTATTTCCGTTCAGAATACTGACCAAATTAATAGGTCTGATGTTACCAGTGAAGAAGCTGCAGAAAAAGATGACAAAGTCCTGGAGGCAGTGGCTCAGTAAGTATGAGAAAAATGAGAAGATAGCAATTTACCATGCTCCTCACTTCTGATAGCACTATATAGTGTGGTAATTATACAAGTTTTTGATGAAACTTCTGCAATGAGACAGAAACTGAGGGAAGAATAGGAATCTTTAATGCATGAAACATAGATTAAACATTTTTGTTTTTAAAGCACTGCTTTTAAACAAGAAATCAGTCATGGTAACTGCAAAAAAGGCTGAAAACTAAAACAAGCCCTTGCTACTAGCTTTAATACTTTAATAGCTTTAATACTGAAATGCATCCATTTCAGTGATTAGGTATTTAGACAGTAGGAATAAGTGTTTGTTCTGGGAGTGCAGTTAAGTGGTAGGTGTCAGGTAGGAGGAGAAAAAATTTCAACATGTGGGCAATTTCATGCACATATTTATTAAGTGTTTCTTATATTTCTCTTCAGTGCAGAAATGGAAGCTGCAGTGTAAAAAGAGGAATATATTTTACAGGAGTGATTATCAAAGCTAAAAATAAAAAAAAGCCAACTGCCCTTCCTACTCCCCAAACTAAACCCCCCTAAAATAGCCTAAAGCAACAACAACAACAACCACCAAAAAAAAAACCCTCTAACTTTTGTTTTAAAAGGGAGATGGTTGAAGAGGATGAAGGGAGATAAACTGGGTTTCATAAACTGCCAGCAAAATACTTGCACAGTTATTTAATTCATTAACCTGTTTTGTGACTTGTTGCTCGGTGTAAAAAGGCATAGAAGAATCTGACACTTGTAATAATGCACATCTGATATTTTTCCTTTAGCAAGATAATGAAGTTATTTATGTATTTTCTGAATACATTTAAAAAAATCTGGATATTTGTGACATTTTAAACTTTTCATTAAATTAGGTTTATCTGTCTCTAGACTAGATAGGAATGCAAGAAGAGCCACTGTGGGTCAGAAAAGGTTGGTCCAGTATGGTATCCTGTCTCCAGTAGGAAAAGAAAAATAGCAGGGCAAACATAAGGTTAAACTTTCAGTCCATAGCATATGCACTTCTAATTTTACTGTTTCAAGAAGCTAGTAATGCAATTTAGATAAGTGTATGTTAACAACTTAAAAAAAAAAAAAAAAAGAAAAAAATCACTTCTCCAATCGGATGTACTTCATGGATCTTACATGTTTTTCCAGGTCTAATGAAACAGCTGGATTACAGGAAGGCAGCAGACAGAGTGTGCTGAAGCCAACACCTCTAAAGAGAGCCAGAGTGCAGAGGCTGAAACTGAATCTAGGAAGAACTGTTGCAAGGCAGAAAGAACGGACAGATTGGAAAGATCCTGAAGAAGAGGCAACTGAAGGTGGAGCAGTAGAAAAAGGCGTGATACACCACAGAGATGAAAACAATGATCTATGCCTCAAAAGTGTAAGTCTATTGAGCTGCTGCTTGTCATGTTGTTTTCCTGGGTTCTTAGTAGAAGCCTTGAGTCACAAAAATACAGGTACTTAACACATAATTTGTAAGGATTTTCTTTCTTTCCGAATAAACTAAGCTGTTGTAAAATTACCTCCTGCTTGCTCTTGGGTTCTGTTTTCCATGGTGTTGTGTTTAATCCCAGGCATCAACCAAGCCCCATGCAGCTGCTTGCTCACTCCCCACCACTGGGACTAGGGAGAGAGTTGGAAAGATAGAAGCTGAAAGACTCAAGACAGTTTAATAGGGAAAGTAAAAGACATGCACACAGGCAAAGAATAACAAGGAATTCTTTCACTGCTTCCCATGGGCAGGTAGGTGTCCAGCCATCTTTAGGAGAGCAGGGCCCCATCCTGCCTAATGATTACTTGGGAAGACAAACACTGTAACTCCAAATGTCCCTCCTTTCATCCTTCTTTTCCCCACTTTATATACTGAGCATGATGTCATATAGTATGGAATATCCCTTCAATCAGCTGTCCCAGCTGTGTCTCCTCCCAGCTTCCCATGCACCTCCAGCCCCCTCGCCAGTGTGGCAGTACAAAAAGCAGAAAAGGCCTTGGCTTTGTGCAGGCACTACTCAGGAATAACAAAAACATCTCTATATTATCAACCCTGTGTTCGCCACAAGTCCAAAACACAGCCCCACACTAGCCACTGTGATGAAAATTAACTGTACCCCAGACAAAACCAGCACACATAGATAGGTGGATTATGTTTCACTTTGCTGTATTTGTGATATTAGACCTGAAAGGAGAAGTGTGAAAAAAAGATGTCTTGGAAAATAGACAACTTCAGAAAGCAAATATAAGGAAAAATGTCTTTCTTGCTTTTGAAGTATACACTGATGTTAGCTGGATACACAAGAAGCGAGAGAGATATTGGCTGTTTTTGTAAGAAATACTAAAGCTTTCTCAGTTTCCCTCTGCTCTCCTAAAAGAGACATTGAGCAAATATTTATCTTGATAGAGTGAAACTCTTATTCCTTTTAGGATTTGGCAGTTCATGAAGACACTCAGCCATGCAACGCAATGTTAGAAGGGGATGTTTCTACAGTATCGGAGATGAACTCAGTGTATACAAGGCACTGTTTCCAGGAAAAGTCCTCAGAAGCAGAAATCTGTGAAAGTGAAAAGGGATTGTCAGATGTCTTGAAACAGGTTTCAGATTTCAATACAGGGTAAGGTGGGGTTTTTTTTTAAAATGGAGAGAAGGGATGCTTGAAAGCCATCAATATCTCTAGGTATTCTGCACTTTTACATTTGACTCCAGCATTACAGACAAGTTTTATATCTATAATGAGATGCTTAATCAAGACAGTACTAGACTTCAACAAACACAACCCCAGGAACTTGAAAGCATTAAATTTATATGCTGTTGGATGTTAATTTGATGTCTAGTCTATGAGCCTAATTTTCAAATAAATAAGTTTTTCTGATGCTCATTTCCTGTGGTTGTCTTCTCCATGTTGTTCTTACAGTGCATCCCAGTATGCTTATATAAATCCTTTAGTACAAGGCTTTGGTTTCCTCTTAAGGTGCCCCGTAAAAAAAAATGCGACCACAAGTGTTCTGTAGGTCTACTGGGTAGTTTTAAACATGATTAGACAAAGGCATTTGTTAAATGTGTGTATCCTCTCAAAATGTTTCAGCCTGTCTTCAAGATCTCAGCTGGAAGTTGCAGTTGTTCTGATATGGCATCTTTTCTTAACTTACCTTTGCTCACCTCTTTGTAAGATACACAGGCTTTTGATGATGATTACTGCATTTTTATTGGATCTTTTCTTCATGGCAGTAACTTTGTTATGACTATCAGAGGCTATATGCACTATGCTATGTTGCTCAATGCCTTCAGCTGTTCTTCTGTTTGGTTTTATAGGCAATCTGACCCTCAGAAGGAAGAGGAGAAAGCCCTTGTGTTATCAGGTCGGCTGCTCAGAAGTCGATTCCAGAGACCAAAGCCAAATTTAGGAGTGACTACTAGTAGAAAGGAGGTGCTGGATGTAAATAATGGTGTATCACAGAAAGATACCAGCAAGGAGAAGAGTTTAACACGGTCTGACAGTGAATGTAGCATCTTTCCTGATACAGAAGTAAGGCTCTTTTTTTTCTTTAGTTATTTTGGAGCTCTTGAGTTTGTGGAAGAAATACTGATATAAGAAAATACAAAGTTAATAATTTTTGAAACAGTTTTTTCAAAAGTAAAATTTTCTATGTTAAAACTTCTGGCTTTTCATTTGGTTGTATGTGAGGAGAAAAAGATTACTCTATCTCTTGTTATGTGTCCAGATGTCTTTCTGGACCAGAATGGTCTTGTAGATTTAACAGAGATGAAAGAAAAGTATTAATAGAAGATGTCAAAGAAGAAATCTAGATTTCGAGCTATGTTATTTGAAAGAAACAAGTATGTGTTTGTCCCTAAAAGTCTAGAAAGAGTTTTGCAGGAAACACTTCAGAGAGTGATTAATACCACACTTCATAGACATCATGATGTCTCCTTTTGGTTAATTATCATGACTTTTCCTGGTTCCCGTGTTTACATTTTTCAGAAAACAGGAAAATATGAAGTCCTGAAACCACTGGAATCCTTAGGAAGGGAGAAGTCACTTCAGTTTCAGGAGGTATCTGAGAGGCCAAGTTGTACATCTCCCAAAACACTTTCAAGATCAGAGGATGATGAAGTCCAGTTTTGTCTACCTGAAATTGACCAAGACGATATCTCCACTACTAAGGCAGGGTAAGGGCTTAGCTACTTTTGATTGTTGACTGTAACTATGAAAGTATTTTGAAAGGAACTCATCGTGCCAAAGGATTGCTAACTGACAAAGGTAATTTAATAAAAAAACTGCCTGAGAACTTGGTTCTTGTAGTTTTGACACTAATGATACTAAAATTCCAGTAGCTTCTATGCTAAACATTAAATTAGTGAGAATTCACTGTTTCTGAAATCTGAAGAGACTACATTCATTTCATGTAAGCAGAGAATGCTAGTTTGCTCAATCAGAGAAACCAGGTGTAAATTGCTTTGGCTTTATGGAATAAGCAGTTGGTAAGTTAATGCCTTCAGTGAGTTAGTTAATTCTGTTGTGGAAGTAGTTAGAAGACCAGTGCTTTGATTTTGGCTGAAAGTGTTGTGTTTGTAGCTTAAACTCAGCAGAACTTTATGTAGTTTCTCTTAAAAACTCAGTGTTTTTAATATGTAAAAATAATGTATCTGTTTATTAATGACATGCTTTCCTGTTAATTTTTGGGGTTTTTTTTCTGTCTGACTTTGCATTGATAGCAAATACAGCACTGACAAAGAAAGTAAACAAACACCTCTTCCACCTATCCAGTCAGTGCAGAGCAGTTTCCAGAGGTACAAGCCAAATTTGGTAAGAGCTGTTGGAAAGAAGGAGTTGCGAGTGTCAGAAAAGGAGGGGAAGAAAAAGCCTGAAGCAGAGCACTTGGTATTGCAAAAAGAAGAGTTTGCCAATACTGACATTGTAAGTCTTAATAAGTGCTTCAAAGTTAATTCAAAGTTGCATGTCCTATTTTATGAAGTTAAATTAGATCATTTGAGTTGCATTCCCTGAAGCTGAGACAATATATTAAATGAAAAAAATTCCCAAGCCCTGGTAAGCTGAGGTATTGCAGGTATGAAATCAGTGAATTCTACAACTTAAACTATCATTTTTTCTGTAAAATGAGTATCTGATTTTGGTTGGATTGCACGATAGAGAAAAGGATTATACACATTTAATATAAACTCTAAAATAAAAATGTGTAAGAATTAGCTTTCTTACTCATTTACTCTTTCCTGTTTGGATGAATCAAGTCTGTGTTGAGGAACCTATGATAGTGTATCAAGAGAAGACAGAGGATAGCTGTTTTTATGAAAGAAAAAATAAAAATAAAAAATTTTTATTAATTTGCTAAGTTTTGATTCGCTTCACCACTACAGTGCCTGACACTCCTCTACACAAGTTAATTGAGTCATTCCCACAGATACTTTACTAGGAGCTGTAAAAGCTGTTGAAATCCTTGAAAGCCATTGTAGTACGGTGAGTCCTCTGTAGCCATTTTGAGGGCTGCCCATGAATCATGTCATGGATGTAGACATATCTGCATAGACTTGCCTTAGATTGCAAACACAGCTAAGCTTTGTAAGAGTGACTCATTCTTTGGAGTGACTGTAGCTGGTTTTGTTCTTGAACCTGTGTAGGGTACCTGTGTACCGCGTTCCCAGAGAGGAGCATCTGTACTCCTCCCCTCAGTACCACAGTGTCGGCTCACCCCAAGCTGGGATGGTTCTTGTAGTCCAGCTTTGACTGTTCTAGACCTGTGGCCTGTGAACTGTGCATGTACATCTGCTCTGTGTTGAGCAGATCTGTAGAACCAGAGCAGGTCAGGTGCTTCTCTTTACTAATAAAGCTGTCAAAGACCCAGAGTGCTAAAGGGTATGTTGAGTGGCTTCTTTGTGGAACCAATGTGGCAAATACAGAAGTAAAACTTAACCTCGGGTTTGGAAGGCCTTGGGGCTTGGGTGTGCCTGTGGTGTTCTGTAGTGTTCTAAGTATTTCATTTCCACAGTGCTCCACATAATAGAGAGTTGTTGAGTGCTAAATAGACAAGTATTACTCATAATATTTGGGTACATATAGTATTTGAGACCTTAACTCTAGGTAGCCCAAAACTATGAAAACTTCTGTTCCTTCTTGCCTATAAACTGAATTATGATAATGTGACTCTGGTCTTTGTTCCAGTTGGGAAAATAACACGGTTTATATTTTTTTATATAAAACATCTGTTTTACAAGCTTGCTTGATCCTATTTTTTTTCATGCTTCTTTTACTGTAAATTAAAGGGTGAAAATGACTCTATATTGTATGAAGCAGATGCATTGAGCAAAGAGGAACAGGAACAGCAAGAGGTGTCTCAGATGCCCTCTATTTCTGAAAACATAGTATGTGAACAAAGCAGGTGAGGTTTGAGTTTGGCAAAATTGCATTTGAAAAACTTTTATCTGGTGCATAATGAGACATCTTTCCAAATGTCAATTCTTCTGTTCCTTATTGCGTGTCTTTCCCCACTGCCTAATTTTCAATACTTACAGACGGCTTCTTCCTATGTTTTCAGAGCATGTTTCTGTTTGAGCTGAACTGCTTGTCACTGGTTATCTGGTACATATTTGGTCTGTGTTAGCTCATAACCCTTCCTGACCAAGCTTTTATTTTATTGGGTTTGCATTTGCATAAATAGAAATCATACGTGTAACATAGGAATTTTGCAAAGTTTCAGAGACTTGTCTTTAGTTGATCTCAGTGTGCTCTCCTATTTTCCTGCTTCTTTTGTTCAAATATTGTCTTAAGCATCTGTTAGACTGCAGATACTTTGATGTTATGATTAGCAGCACAACTTTTTTCTTGATTTTAAAAATGCTTTGACAAAGAAATTTTATTTCTTCTCCAAAGTCAGCCATAAATGACAAATATATATTTGAAATATAATTTTATTGATCTTAAGCAAAGCAGACTATCAGTCTCCAACCCTTTTGCATAAGTGTGATTCAAAACTTAGTAAGTGCAGAAATACTTGTTTTCCTTCCCAACCAAAGTCAAGTGACCTAATTTTTGGGTGTGGTTTTTTTTTTCTCTTTTGGTTTGTTGTTGTTTGTTTGCTTTAAATCACCAGTACTGAAAATTCTACCTCCCAAGAAGGCAAGCTGGGTACTCTGAAACCAGGACAATGCATAAGGATTGAATCTCTGGGAAGTAGACCAAACTTAGAAAGAGCATATAGCAAAAAAGAGTCTCCAGTAGCACAAAATCTTGCTGCTCCAGATGAGGATGAAATGAATAAAGGAGAGAATCTGCCCACGGCAGAAGAATCTGGAAGATCTCTTTCCTTGGAAGTGAGAATTCTCTTCATGTATTTCTGACTGTATTTTCTGATACTTGATTCCACACCAGCAGTTTTTAAAGACATCTAGATAAGCTGTTTTAAATGCACACAATAATTTTGGACTAGTAAGAATTTTTGTTTAATATGTGCACCCTAATATGAGGTCTTCCAATATCCTGTTAGTCACACATTGATAATGTGTAGATTCTGTTAAGAAATCTGTACTTGATTTAAACTTTGACATTTCAGTCATATGCATGATGCATGCCTTAGTTCTGTTGCTCGGTTTCTTCTGAACTCCTTGGTCGCTGCTCATGAATGACTATATTGCTCATAGTATCTGTTTTTATTAGCTAAATAACTTCCCTAGCCAGAATAAGGAACAGTGATGATGCCATAAACTGCTTGAAAGTTTTTAAGTGAAATTTTGTCCCAGGTTAACAACTTGATCATAATTTGCAGTGATTTATTTTGTGATATATTTCGTGCTAACGTTGTTGGGGTTTTTTTTCTCAAAATCTAAGGATGACATGGAGGTATTGTTGTTTGTGGGAAATTCGGCCAAAAATGACAATCCAGACATAAACTCAAAAAGTATGATGTCAGAAACAATCTATTCTTTTAAAAAATCACCCAACTGCCACAGCAAGGGAGAGCAAGAGGAATGTCCATCTACAGATGCTGTAGGAAGCATTCAGGATACCATGGAAAGGTAAAGCTCCCCACTGAGATAGTAAAAAAGCCCTCGTCCTGGGTTCATCTGGGACGTAGAGTTAATTTTCTTCCCTGTAGCAGATACAGTGCTGTGTTTTGGGGCAGTCAGCGACTGCATGGTACTTACTTGATGGCTGGGGTTAAAACATGACAGTCCTTTAAAAAACTTGGTGCATTTGTCCAGTTGTTTTCATACAGCACTTGCTTTTTTAAGTGTAGGCGCCGAGCTGTACTAGTTGTTACATACTACGTGCTGTGAAAGTCACTAGGTGGCATCCTTAACTAATATACAAGGCTGTTATGGGAGACAGTGTTAGAAGCCTTACTGAAGCCAGGGTAGACACTGTTTACTCCTCTCCCTTCGTTTATCGAGCAAGTCATTTTATTGTAAAAGTTATTAAGTTGGTTAAGCATGACTTTGCCATTGTGAGTTCATGCTAGCTACTCCAAGTCACCTTGTTTTCCCTGTGTCTGGAAGTAGTTTCCAGGGTTAGTTGTTCCATTACTTTTCCAGCAGCTGAGGTGAGGCTGACTAGGCTGTAGTTCCCTGGATTCTCCTTTCCTTTTCCCAAGTGGTGAATTACAAGCCCAAGATTTCTATCTTAATGATCTAAATGCACTTGAACAGATGCAAAAATGTTACTCTGTTTGAAAGCAGTAGGACCTTAAGCCCAGGAATTAATTAATATAATCTTCCTGTTACTGCTTAATTTTGGAGACCTATGTTGCTATAGCAGAAACTCTCTATCCTACCTGACTTCTTAATGTTGTTTTCCTTCCAAAACTTTTTTTTCCCAAAAGTGATCAGAAAGATTGTGTACTGCAGGCAAATTATTTCCTTTCTGCAGTGTTGTTTTTCTTCCTTGAGGTTTTTTTAAACTTAACTAAGTAAACAAATAAAAATTCAGAACACAAGTTAATTTGTAGCTGGAATTATTAAATACATGATAGTAAGCTAATCTTATAAAGTGTATTTTGTAGTTCCTCAGAACTAAAAGTTGAAGCATATTTTTGTAGGTCCAATTATAAATTAAGTTCTGGAGAAGAAAGTGAACAGAGAGCAATGGAACCCCACTGGAACCAAAGGCCAAACCTAATGAGCCTTACTAGAAGAAGACATTGTCCTGAAGAAGGTGAAAACAGAGAAGACAACACTGAGAAAAGAAGTGAAGAGGGTTTGGTGTTAAAAACAGGGGTTTCATTGGTAAGTGCTGATTACTTGTTTTGAGCCAGTCACAGAATTGTAGAATCGACTGGGTTGGAAGAGACCTCAAAGATCATCGAGTCTAACCCTACCATTGTTACTAGACCATGGCACTAAGTGACACATCCAGTCTCATCCTGAAAACCTCCAGGGATGGTGAATCTACCACATCCCCAGGCAGCACATTCCAATACCTGACTACTCTCTATAAAAATCTCTTCCTAATAACCAACCTAAACCTCCCCTGGCAGAACTTGAGTCTGTGCCCTCTTGTCCTACTGGGAAAGGAGACCAATCCCCACATGACTGCAATGTCCTTTCAGGTAGTTGTA